TATATATATATATATATATATATATATATATATATATATATATATATATATATATATATATATATATATATATATATATATATATATATATATATATATATATATATATATACATCTATGTAGAATATATAGAGGGGAAAAGAGTTGTAAGAAGTAATTAGCATATTTATGCTAAGGGCAATTAGCATATTTTTACCAATTATCGTTCTCTTAAGTTAATGTTTTGTTTCGTTGTAGAAATATTGTCACCAAATTTTAACGTATCAGTGTTTAATAAGTTAATATCTATGTGGATATGGCTCCTTTCTGTCTCGAAAGACAATGAATGCACATCAGTATCACTCTTTATGAATCCCTTTCATTTATTGCATGATCTTCTCTGACTAAACATATTAATTCTTAAGTTACAAATTCTACCACAGATAGGACAATAATAGGATTCTTTTGAGGAATTGTCAGATGGCGGTGCTTTTCTTTTTTTGCGCCTTTCTGAGGCAGCTTCAGGTCTTTTAGATTCTCCCACCAAAATACTATTTTGAATATTTTGTCTCCTTGTTGTTCAATTCTAAGCAATCTCTTCCCACAGGTTTTATCAATGTCTGAATTCCTGATGTCTCGCTGATTTTGGACGACCGATTGTTCTTTTACCCCTGACCAGCTTAGCTTATAGGATAATTTAAGAAAATCGAACATACGGTGTACATGTTCAAGCCAACGTAGCCTTTTTTGCGTCAGAAACTCATAGATGCAAAACGTATTGGCTTTCTTAACAATTCCTGATTTGACAAACCATCTTTCCATGTGACGCACATAATGCGTCACAGACAGCCCTTCCCAAAACTATTCAATCTATGTTCTTGATACATATAAGTTGACTAACTCTCACTGTCATAGAGCAAAATACTCAAAACACATGTGCTATAGACAAGTATTTTGGTATCTAAGTAAGTTTAGTATTTTTCCAAACACGATTCGAAAGTTTTTTCATGACTCCTGAGACCTTTGCAATTCGTCTTGAAAGCTCTATGTCCAAGATTAAGTTGCTTGTAATTGTTGGCCCAAGATACTTAAATTGATTTTTCACATTAAGAGTATGATCACCTATGTTGAATACCGTTATTTCGTTTCTACCTTGGGCAAGTATTTTGGCTTTGGTAAGACTTATGGTAAGCTCAAATACTTGACATACATTTGCCAAGGAATCAAGAATAATTATTGTACCGTTTTTTGACTTGAGTGGCACACATCTGTCAAAAAGCTTTCTTGTATTTTCATACAATCCCTTTACATTACTAGAATCAGCACAAATTTGAATATTCTTACAGAGATCTTGCCAATCTCTCTTCTTACAACGTCTAGCAAGTTTCTTTGTTTTATTTCTTGCATCTTTAAAAACTGTAAATTGCTTTGTGTGGGTTCTTTTTTGTAAATTATCAAAGTTTTTCTTTGTTTTTTTTTGTAGCAATTACCATTTCTGACAGTTTGCTTCATACCAATCCTCATTTTTCCTGCTTTTTTCCCCAAAACCGACAATGATACGTGAAAAAGTAATAGCGCATAGATTGCCAACTTTTCTCAACATCATTAAAGTTGTAGCTTTTGAGAGTCTCATTCAATTTGTTGTGAAGAGCCATGCATAGTTTATGATTATCAATACATGGGGTTTTCAAACGCGGTTTTCCTTTTTTCCGTTTCCGTTTTTTGTCAGTTTCTACTTTTTTTGTTAATTGTTACCAGTGTCCAGATCTACGATGTTTCCACGATACACAGTGTTGTGGTTTAGTTTTAAAATATGTATTAGTGATACAAAGCTTGTGGTATGAACAAAATTTAAGTAGTCTTTGTCTGTTTCTATTCATTTTGCCAATACCAAATTGCCTAATGCTGTCCGGCAAAGCGTTGTGATCTGATCCTATTCTGGCGTTGAAACGACCCAGCACCAACAGATGCTTTCTTTTGGAGATGAAGCCAATTGTTTTTTTTAAGTTTTTATAATACCTATTTTTGTCCTCCTTTGATAAGCCTAGTGTAGGGGCGTACGCATTAATCAGAGTGGTTTTCTCGTGGCTGTCATTAACCAATGCTTAGAATACGTTCCACGTCTCAAGCGGAGGAAGTTATAAAAAGTAAGCTTTTATTTTGAGGCTTTCACTCTTTCAGAAAAAAGTGTAATCTGTTTCACGAAGCACACCACCATCCGCCAATGTCCAATATTGTTTCCTGTACAGTCGAAAATCATTCGCAAGCCCAGGGAACATTGTTCTGACATTCCATGTAACTAATCGCACAACAGATTTTGCTTTTGTTTTGGGCAAGTGTTCAGTCTGCTTGCTGATCTAATCTAAACTTTAAGCCAGTGCTTTTCAAACTTTTTTGTTCCGCGAGCCGGTACGAAATTTAATGCGGACCACCACTACACTATATATATATACATATATATATATTTTTACACTATTCTATAAATTCTACCGAATGTTTGGCGTTAATATGTTTGTAGTTCGTTTTTTCGATTGGCGTTAATATGTTTGTAGTTCGTTTTTTCGATTGGCGTTAATATGTTTGTAGTTCGTTTTTTCGACAACAAGGAGCACTGACGATGATTCATTCGGAATCGAAATATGGCCTTATTTGCAGCATGAATTTGAAAAATAAGTTTATTTTGAATTTTAATAAACTAAACATTCACCAAAAAACTTTAGTGAGAAAAATCGA